TTTAACGCCGCTTTTAACAGTATTCCAGTTATATCACGGCGTGTCAGCTAAATGTGGGAGGAAAGCCCGAAGTGATGTAGGTCTCAGACGTTACCACTTCGGTGAAACCCACGAGCACGGGTATGGTGCTGACAAACCTAGAAACTTAATTGGGGCGAACCGGGATTCGAACACACAATCATAGGTTTCTGGCGTGCCCAAGGGACGCAACTCTGCACAGCGAATCGCGGCGCCTTAGACGACTGGGCCACCCGTGCCCCCTTGTAACCACTGAAGTTCGTACCTACCTGACCTTTCATACTTTCTTAATTATCCGTAAATGACGCCAACGGATGACGTTGTCTTTATCCTGCTAAGAAACCTATCCTTTATGTGATGATTCGTTATATGTGTATTTCCGGAATATACTGTTTATAACATCATGCCAGTTATCACCGACAATGGATCTAGGTTTGTCAGCACCATACCTGTTCTCGTGGGTTTAACCGAAGTGAAGACCTGCATCACTTCGGGCTTTTCTCCCACATTAAGCTGACACGCCATGATATGACTGGAATACTGTTGAAAGAGGAGAATTTCCGAACTCATTAACTCACTCACTCTCTCACTCGTAACATGTGAGTACAACGTAGTACACTGGTTGTGAGAGAGTTAATGAGCAACATTCAGCACCTGTCCAGCTAGACCACGGTACGACACCCAGGAATGAGCCCAATACCCTGAACTTCTCTCTTTCAAAACATAGAATGCATCCATGATGAAATCCACGCATGCGCGGAAATACACAGACTCTAAAGCTGTTATTTGTTGGAGTGGTATAAAGCCTAAGGTCTGTCCACTCAAACATCAGACTGAGCCTTTATACATCTGCAGCATGTGTTGAAATGTCAACCGTCTTTATTATTTAGAAACTCATCCTCAAGCAAGTGGTCTTCTATATTTAGAAACTCACCCTCAAGCAAGTGGTCTTCTATATTTAGAAACTCACCCTCAAGCAAGTGGTCTTCTATATTTAGAAACTCA